TTATTTTGACAAAGGTTATAATGTGGGACCATTTAAAACTGTAGATACCAGCTTTAGAATAATGCCCATGGTTGCACAAAAATATCAGTACTGTATACCAAAGCCAGCCAACCTTTTCAAATGGCTGTGGCAATTCATCTGGAGTGTTTGCTGATATATATCTCCTTGAGCACATTATGTATTACTTGATGGAGCTCCTGCAGTTTATAGAAGCTGTGGTTCATTAGCTGTGCAGATTTCCAGTGCATTGATGGATACATTATTTATTCATCTCTCCCCTTTTAAAATGACTTTTTGTCTAATGAAGTATATGGCAACAAAACTGTGCTGAATCAAACCTTAGGAGAAGATGGTGTTAATTTAATCCACTTTTGCTAGATCATGCAATTAAGGCTGGCATAGGTGAGCCGGGGCTACATTGCAAGGAAGGAAGCAACACAGCGGGTGTCTTGCCATCTAGTGGAACTCCTGATGGAAAAGGCTGAAATGGTAAATTAAGATCTGCTGATTTAAACGATTGAAGTATTTTCACAGATCAGAAAATGAGAATGTCTGAAGCTGGGCTGGCAATGGGCCGGCATTTTGGTCTTTTAATAACTTCTTTTACTTTTGCTTTTTTGTTGCTGCTGACAAGAAATGGTTTCTCTGTGCATCCCCAGCAGACTCTGGGTTATCTTTCTGCACATCAAAGGACACAATACAAGAAATGCCCAGTCGTAAACAGAATGCTTTACATCTTCTGGGCAGCAAAGTGGTGGGCGCTTTAAATTACTTCACATGGCAGCAGAGACTGCTGAGTGGATCACTGCATGGATCAGGCCAATTTCATCGTGTTCCCGTCTCACACCCATCACAGGTTCTGTGTGGTTCTGTGATGTTATCTGGGTTTTACGGTTAGCTGCTGTACTTGAACAATTTTTATCACCCACAGAAGAAGCGTGTGTTGAGCATGTTTGGAAACCATTCCTATGGGAAGTGGTATGGTCAGAGTGTCAGACTAGACTCAGGGGAGACCCAGGTTCAACTCCCTACTCAGCCATAATGCTCACTCATGCCTATCCCACCCACATGCATGTTGTGTGGATAATATACAGGGGGAATGCATGTATGCACCTTCAACTCCTTGGAAGAAAGGCAATAAATAATAACATGTTGGTTATGTTATATATTCAACATGCACCAAGATATAGTGCTTTCAAGGGCCCAGAGTGCTTTCCATACATTATATTGTTATAGTTCTGATGCCAAAGCCCCTCCCGACATCAGGAGGGGGGGTTGCGGGCTCACGCCCACTAGCATCCGCGTGGGGCTGGCTGCAGCCCCGCGCGATCAGGGGAATCCTCGGGCCGCGTCACACCCTGGGCCAGCCAATTGGCTGGCTGCAGGGGCGGAGCTAGCTGGGTCATTTAAGGACGGCGCGGCCCGAGAACGCCCCTTTTCCTCTTCATCTTAGCTGCGGTTTCCCACCCACCCACCCTCGAGGTTTTCCTCCGACTTTGCTATGGACCTCGGTTGGTCGCCGCAAGGGGCCTGGTAGGAGTTTTTCCACTTGGCTAATTGGCATTGTTTTTAAAGCCATTTTTCCCCCCGCCTACCTCGTAGCAAAACGTCACAACTCCTTGGTTTTGGCGGTTAGGCATTGGTAGGGATATTATTATGCTGATGAGTTGGTGGGGAGGAGCGCCATCACCTCCCCCAAATATATAGGGGTAGTCTGATAAAGGATTCCGGGGGGCATTGCCTCGTCCGAAAGCTAGGGAGACTAGGGCCTAAAGCGGTGACCCCTCGGGGAGAGCCTAGGGATGTACATCTCGGGGGCTCCCCCTGTTGGTGTTCAACCCCTTCCGGTTTTATCCTGGATAGTCTGATAGGACCAATGCCTAAAGCCAAGACCGCTCTTACCTGTAACCAATAAAGCTGTGGCCATTTGTTGCCCATTAACCTTAAATCTTGGTGTCCTGTGTCTTTATTTATTCCAAATGGTGGGGGGTGGGAATCGCCACACAACTTTGAATACCAGTTGCTGGAAACCACAGGAGGGGAGAGGGCTCTTGTACTCAAATGCTACTTGCTCATGTCTCACAGGCATCTGCTTGGCCACTGTGAGAACAGGATGCTAAATTAGATGGGCCATTGGCCTGATCCAACAGGCTTTTCTTACATTCTTATGCACATCCCATATTGTATAGGGGGTGTAAAGCTGAAAAGAGATTTGCTGAGGTCACTTAATGAGTTCATAGCAGAGGCAAAATGGAAGCTGCTAGTCTTCCTTTGGGCCATTCCTCATTTTGCAATGTTTATTCAACTTCTTCTTCTTTGGTTCCCAAGTCTTTCCCATCTTGCCTTCTGTTCTATTTGTGGGATGTGATACGTAAGTAGCAGTCAAGCACAACATTCCTTGTTTTCCTAGAGTGGACATGCAGGGAAATGTTTGGTCCAGCCAGTCGAAAACTTCCTGTTTCCTTCTTGCTGGGACATACTTCCTTTGCATGTGACTAGAGGTGGGTGTGACCTTACCTGTCCAGGTAACAAAAGGGGCAAGGTACGCAGCACTCTCTCTGCCTTCCTCCGTAGTTGGAGCAGCTCTTAGCTAGAGATGCTCTGTTGGCTTCCAGCCAACAGAGGACACTGGGATTATCCCCATATGGGATAGCTCCACATGTATATACTTTGTAACTAAGTCTGCCTTCAGGGATCCATCTGTGAAGTGAATGTGAGCAAACTACTTTTATATACTTTACACAAGATTGTGGTGTGTTTATTCTTTTAAGAGGGATATAAGGGAACTTACCAGGAAGCTGATAGTGAGAGGCTTACACAAGCCTGAAACCAGCTACCCACTGTGCATTTAAAAGGGGAAAGTGAAACTCTGCTAAGTAAAGGAACTTGCTAGCGCAAGTTAGGAAGGATATTAATAAACAATATAACCTCTCCTGCCTCCCTGAACATTCCCACACTATTCCTGCTTGGCTTGGCACCCCTGGCAGGGGACGAAGGCACGGGAGATGTTGATCCCATGCCACTATATGTGATCTATTCAACATATAAGCAGAGAACCTGGAGGCAACTTGGCATTTTTCCAAGTCAACATTCCTGATCATTCAGGCATGTTCCAAATGAAGAGGTGGAATCATTAGTCTACTCTTGTTTATTGTTTATGCAAAATCATCAATGTACATGGGTTGAGGTTTTGCATTACAGAGCTTCAGGAACAAAAGTTCCCAGCGTGCCCCTAACCAAAAGGAGCATATTATTATTATTATTATTATTATTATTACAGTGGAAAAGATATCAAAGGGAAGGCAAATAAATCTTTTGTATGAGTGATTCTCTGGAAAAACATCTACAGTTGACATTTTTTGAATGGCAATGCAAACTGGGAAGGAAGCAAAAGAGTTATATTTAAAGTGCTATCTTCAGTAACACATCAGAAAGCACTGGAAAAAAATAATGTCAATTCTGCAGAAGAGTGTCTCCAAGTATGCACCTAGATTTGGTTGATGTTCTTTCCAGATGACTAGAAATAGTCTACAAAGTGAACATTCCCTCTGCTAAGCTCATCAAGGCATATTGAAAAGGTTGCTGTGTGTGGATTACCTGAAGAGATTGTTCCATATAATGGTCCTTAATTTCTTTGATTCAGTTCACTTATGCACACAAAGACCTTGGTCCCATTCTGACTGAAATCAATCAGGGTTTAAATTCAGTAAGAGTAGAGCTGAGTGCTAAATCTCATTCTTATCAGCTAGTATCAAATGGGTTCAAGGAAAGCTTTGCAGATGCACTTATGAGGGCAATAGGAAAATGTATTAGAAGCTTGGAAATGGAACACAGCACTTCTTCAAAGCTCTCTGAAGGCTACAACTGCCTTGTTTCTTCAGTGTTGGCTACAACTTAGATCTAATTTAGTAGATTAGGTTTAGCAAAAAGTATCAAATAGGGAAACAGCTTGACAAAAGAAGTTGCCAACATTATGTTAGCAGAGGGACCGGGTACATGCTTTCAGAATTGGAAAGAAACGAGTTTGTCATTAATAATATTTTCAAGTGCCAATGAGAAAAGTTGGTGAATGAGCCAGGTTGAAAGGGGTTGCCTGATCACAGAGATAAGTACAGCATGTTGTGTTTGCATGCAGGCTGGTTTACATGTGATCCCATTCACTGATGAATCAGAAGCACATGTTATTCATTTACACAATCAGGGACGGCTCCAGGGTTTGGGAGTCTGTAGCAAGGTGCTGCTCACTTTCCTACCTGGACGCCTGTTTCATTTTGTTTCACTGCATTGATCATTTCTTTGTTTTGGCATTTTCCCTACAGTGCACTGGAACCACAATTTCTGGTGCATTGCATTTGGGGAAAATAAAGATGGTGGGCACAAAAATGGCCACCAAGAAGACCAGAGCAGCGGATCCAGACATCCGGGGGGGGGGGTCAGTATGGGCCTGGCATTTGCCCAAACATGTTGGACACCTGCTCAACTATGTCGTGGTGATGGGCATGCACATAATACCATGGCATGGAGATTGGAAGGATCCTGCTGAATAAAATGCTTTGTACAGGCAAGTCTAAAACTTATGTGTGGGTTACATTCCGGGGATATTAAAACACAAAAACCTCAAACATTCAAAAAAACTCCCCGTGCAGGGTTGCCTTTAGATGTCTTCTAAAAGTCAGATAGCTATTTATTTCTTGACATCTGATGGGAGCGCCTTCCATAGGGTAGCGTGACTACCGAAGACGGCCCTCTGTCTGGTTCCCTATAACCTCACTTCTCGCAATGGGGGAACTGCCAGAAGGCCCTTGGAGCTAGATCTCAGTGTCTGGGATGAACAATACAATGTTTTCATTACAGCAAATTGCTTTGGGATGCCTCATGGCAAGCAATTCATAAATGGAATAAGCCATCACAACAAAGGAAGCTGCCTTATACAGAATCAGGCCACTTGTGTATCTAGCTCCGTATTGTCCACACTGGCTGGCAGTGACTCTCCTGGGTTTCAGAGATGCCAGGGATCGAAGTTGGGACCTTCTGCATGCAAAGCAGATGCTTTACCACTGAGCTATGGCCTGTTTCGAAACAAAAGTGTGGAAAGAGTAAGCAGTTGCATGGGGGAAATGGTTGGCAGAAGGAGGGCTGAACACAGTCTCTTCCGCTTGTCCCCCCCATGCAAAGTACACCTTCCTAGGGGCAAAGGAGACCATTGGCCCCTGGGCAATGTGGAATTTGTACCTGGGGCTTTCAGAAAACTCTCAGAATGGCAAAGGATGTTGTGTCTTCTTAAAACTGGCAATGTAGCAGGAGATGAGGAGCCGCTGAACAGCTGGCACTCCCAGACTGGAGAGGTATGGAAAAGTGGGTTAAATGGCCTTATCAAATCCATCTTTCACCTTTGAACCTTTCCTCCTGATGACAAGTGCTTTTTTTCAGGGTGTACGCAAGGGAACACAGTACCGGTGCCTCTTTTTTGTTGTTGTTAAAGTGTGGCACTTACTGTAACAACTTAATGGTGAGTACTGGCAACTATTTTTCTAGGGAAAAAAGGACTGCCAATGACACTATCATTTTCAGGGCGATCATAACCTACCTGTTTTAAAACATTATATCCAGATAGGTCTTTGTAGTCTGTGCTGTCTCTTTAGGCTATCTGGCAATATTTATTATTCAGTTTGCAAATCATTGGTTTCAAGAGATTGGAAGAAAAATAATAATAGAGACATGTTGCAGAAATTGGAGCTGTCAGATGGAAAAAAATACAGTATCTGATGTCCTCTCCTAGAAGGTGAGATGATGTGTACATTAAGTACTAAGACTTAGACCATTAATAGATGACAGATTGTGCTTTATTGACAGGTCCATTTATAGTACATTGCACTACACAAGTTGGGTACGTTGTACCCTACGTGCTTTCACTGCTGTTTGGGAACATTTTTTTTACACACTGAGCTTTTCTACAGGGACAACCTTAGTGATCAAGAGATGAGTTCTGTATGCAGAGGACAGAAGTCCAAAGAGCTGCATTAGTGATAGAACTGTGTGCTCCGATGCAACCTTCTTTCCGATGGACAACCCATTACAATGGCATCTCTTCAGCTACAAGGAGAGTCTTTTGCCCTTGTGACTAAATGCAATCTTATATTAATTTGTTTATTAAATTTGTAACACCGTTAAAAATATTTATAAGTTAACAATATGCCATCATTCTCTTATTTGAAAACAAGACAAGGGAGACAACAATTTGTACATGTGTTTTTGTACAAAAGGGGGATTTATAAATTTCCTATTGGAATGGCAAAGTGCAAAATGCAATTCAGGTGCATGTAGAGCAATTTGAGTAAAATAATTCTAGTTGCATTTCTCTTTCTCCCCTCCCCCCTCATCTGTTTTTCTCTCCTCCTCTTCTTCTTTTGTGTGTTTTCTTTTTCTGTCTCTCTTCACTACCGTCACCCTGCTTTTGTGTTACCTATGGCCAGAAATGCAAACTTGAAAAGAATATTGGAGGGGCCCAGGTAAGCCCCTCCCAGCATAATCAGCCACAAGATGTGGCACATGCACACCCTTTGAATGGTAATGCCCATCAATGGAGGGGGGAGAGCCACATTCAAATTGTACACATTTTGTACACACATTTAATGTAAAATACTTACTTTTACTTAAAATACACATTTTCTAATGTGTTTCCCCATAAAACACTCATTTATTAAATAAGGTATTTCTTTTTGTAGGCACTCTTTTGCACAATGAAAATACACTACAGAATGCGTATAAGTGTGTGATCCAACTTGGACTTTTGTTCTGATCCACAAGCACGTTCAGAAGCACCGGAATGGGTCAGAGCATTGCAAAGGGTCAATGCACTGCAGAAAGCAGTCTGAACTAATTTCTTCTTCATCCCTCATAGAGAGGTGAGAGAAATAGCACAATGTCTAGGGGTAAATGAATATGACAAGTTTATGGCTGTGTTTTGATCCAAGGCTTTAAAGGAGACCTTTGGCTTAGCTTAATTAAGCTATGTCTTTAAACAGTCAATAAATAATACAGCTCTTAGCATTTCCCATTTGAGAATCCTACTGCACTTTATAACCTTTAATAATCAAAATGTCAGTTCCTTCAAACATCTCTTTTTAAGGTGAGCAAGTTGTTCTCTCCTTAATTTATGGAAACTGAACCCAAAGACTTTAGAAACACGCTGTAATGGCTCAGATTTAATAACATCTTATAATGTGATGAATTTCTGGTGTATATATGAATTCCACATCTTCCCCTTCATTTCAATAGAGAGGGCAAATCTATCTTTTATTATTAATTTTTCCATCCTGCTTTTCTTAAAATGTAAGTTAAAGCAGGTTACATCCAACATCAAGCAAAAAACAAACAAACCCCAAAGCAACAAATCAAGAAAAATGTCACATAAACAAAATATCACAAAATAAAAAATATACCCAAATGTATGTGCATATATTATATATGCACTCATAATTCTGCTCCCTCTGTTGAAATAAGCAAAGCAAACACTGCATTTTCCCAATACTAATCAAAGTTTTTTAAACAGCCTATGTTTCAAAACAACATAGCAATGATTTATTATCCTTCGTATTAGTTTTAGAATGTTGCCCAAATTCAAACTCAGGAGGAGGGGGGAAGAGATTGTAAAATGAATTCCTAAAGGTCAACTCTCCTAGCACAAACCTGCCTTGAATTAGGCAGAACCCCCTTTGAAGTTCAACGCAAATCTGAAATTGTCTTGATTTTGTGTCACGGGTTTCCCTTTCCTCAAGGTGTTGGTAGATGTTAAGCCCTCAGACTCAAGCCCTGGATGCCGCAGTGAGCAAGTGCATGGAAGAATAGGAAATGAAGCCTTCTGGCTTCCCATCATCAATGGATTTTGCTATGTACCCTCACAGCAGTGTCCTGGCTGCTGATGCCAGGGATGTATGAAATGGATGCCAGCACCAAATGAATGCTGCCATGCTTGTTTATAGCAATCTCTGGGTCTTAGGTCTGGGGCCTATACTAGTGCACACCTTCCTTGCTGATCCCGCCTCTGCAATTCATTTTCAGAGTAGGTTGCTGGTAGGGAAGCCATTGGGCCAGGCACCCCCAAACTCGGCCCTCCATATGTTTTGGGACTACAATTCCCATCACCCCTGACCACTGGTCCTGTTAGCTAGGGATGATGGGAGTTGTAGTCCCAAAACATCTGGAGGGCCGAGTTTGGGGATGCCTGCATTAGGCCATGCCACAATCCTGAGGACACCTTTGGGAGAGCAACAAGGCCAGATTTTGAAAGAAATGACATGTTTTATTTCATTTAAAGAATTTATATACCACCCCTCGTTAGAAATTCTGCATCACCTCCTTCCCTTCCTTATCAGTGGCAGCACTGAAGCAAACTGAACTTCCAGTGTAAGTGGTGTTTCTGAACCCTATGATACACTGTCTTCTTGGAAGGTATCTCATTTGGGCTGCCTGTTAGGCAGAGTAACACAGCTGCCTCAGTAGACAAGTTCTGAGGGGCTGGGAAGAATGGACAGAGCTGCATATTCCTCCAGTCACCCATGTCAAGTAAAATTGTCTGTCTGGTGCATGTAAAATGGAGAGGGTGCCATCTTATCATAGGCCTCAGGCGACAAAATGGCTTATACCAGCAACTCATTCAACACAGGCATTCATCCCTCTTGTGTGTGTGTGTGCAAACTAAGAGAAACCAAAATTGACAAGTGCACTCATCCCATGTTTCCAATCTTAAGTTTGGCTCTGAACATTTCCACAAATGTTTGCAATTTTTTTTAATGCTCATGAAAAATTCATCATGATTTTAGTGCACATTTGTCCTACTATGCATATTTGAATACAGTTTGTCAAACAGTCTCAATTTTACAAACAACTTGTTCTAATACAATTCATTTTTGTATGTTATCCCCACAGATATATGCATATTGTGCACATTTTGCCTGGGTAAATGGATTTTTCTACCCAGGACTCGACTGGAGGAGTGCACTGAAAAATTCAGAGAAGTTCGAATTTCAAAAATAATAGCTGCTTTTTGGTACATATATTGTTTCAGGAAATGCAAATTAAGTAAATTTTCCTCAAATGCAAACTGAACCATCCCTATCCCTAGTGTGCATACATGCGTGCTCTTCCTTTCGTCCTTTCTCCCTCCCTCTCTCTTTTTCTCTCTGGGAAAAGAGAGTGACTTCAGAGAGAAGGAACAAAACATGGTGGTTTCCAGAGCTCTTTATCAAAACTCGAAATGTGCCCACAACCCTGCATAAGCCAGTGACCCATGTGGAGCTTAGCAGTCTTTTTGGCAGAATAGAGGAAACACAGTGATTAGTGCTGGCCAGCCATGGCTATTCTTATGAAGTGACAAATTCAAGCATACTACAGTTATTTGATCCTGAAAGTACAGCTGGAGGAGAAACGGACTGTGTGTGGTAGAGTCCAGTATGAACACTCCCCACCTCACAACTTCAGCACTATAGTTAAATCAAAGTATCTATCCTGTGCTGAACATGGAATGCCCCAGTTGTTAAGAGAAGAAAATTCTAAATAATTCTCATACACAGCACTGCGGAAGTGTAGAATTGCCACCACCCCTTTGGCATTCAAGCAACGATTCAGCTCCCTAACAATTGGCACAGAGGTTGTTGCTTTTTTAAATAAAAGGATTTCCATGGTATAATTCAAGAGCATGGCAAAAGAACCAAATAGCGCTACTGATTTCTAAAGAGACTGAGACGGGACAGGACCAATGGCATTTTGTAAACCTCCTTTTACTCTTTATTTTAGCTCTGACAGTAGCACTGGTACAAAAAGGTAACAGTGGGAGCAGGCAAGACGGTTGATTATGTTACCTCTACAGTCTTACAGGGTATGTGTTTGCTTTTGACATTCTTGGTATACTTTGTCTCATTGCTTAAATGGAAATAAAGCTCATAAGGAGCACAAAGGTTTTCATTCACACTCTGTACATCAGCAGCGTATTGTTGTTACCATCCTTTTATTGCACAGGGATGCTGATTCAGTCTCCTCGAGATCAAGCACCCTTAAATATAAGCAGCTGG